GGAAACACCGTTTACCTTCCCGCTAGTAAGCGGTCCCTATTTATCTACTTGCACCCGGGGGTGCTTTCGAACTGCTAGGTTGGCAGGCGCTGGGACCGAACGACAGGAGCGCACCCCGCCGCAGGGATTCGAACCGCCGACCTTTCGATCGGCAAGTCCTAGGTGCTGAGGCTTTAACCCACAGCGCCACCTGCGTCCCGCTTTTCACTATATAGCTTCCAGCAAATGCCGAAGACTCACCTCTTTACCCTGGCCTTTGATACTTGAAATGGGTGTTTTCAGGGCCCACTTTATGCCTTTGATTATAATCAATTTTAACAGTTATAACACTGAATTTTAAATTGTTGTAACCCACACTGGGACATGCTCATGAAGGGTAAGCAATACATGTAATGAACAACAACAACAATAGCAGGGGTGGGAAACTGCATCCAGATAATGGGCCAGATTCTTATCTCTTCTAACTCATGGGCCAAATTTGACACATGGGTGGGGCTGCCCACCTCTCAAGCACCTGATGTTACAATGATGTCAAGTGATACGGGGCTTTGAAGCCCTGACAATCAGCTAATTGTTGGGACTTTAATGCACTGCACAGAGGTCTTCAAAGTGCTGATGACCAGCTGATCATTGGGATTTCCTAGCAGATCTGAGGATTGCAAAGAGGCTTGCAAGACTGCTGAGGTTGTGCTTGAAGTCCTGGCAACCAACCTACAGTGGTGCTTCAAAAGCTACCTTTGGCCCAACCCAACCACCTTTTTACCTTCCCACACCTGACACCATACAGTAATACCTCTGGGTACGTACCATCCTCCTTGTGAATGCTTCAGGTAATGAGCTCCGCTAACCTGGAAATAGGTGCTCCTGGAAGCGAACTTTGCCCCAGGATGTGAGTGGAAGTCACGCACTGTAGGCGCATGCGCAGCGGGACGCCCTATTAGCACAAGAGCGCCTCAGGTTAAGAACGGTTTCATGTTAAGAATGGACCTCTGGAACGAATTAACCGGAGGTAGCACTGTATATGAAGTCAAGGCAGCTGGGCATGCCTTGGCCAAAATGGTGTGGCAGGCCAAATGGGGAGGTCTGGTGGGCCAGATTAGGCTCACAGGCTGGAGGTTCTCCACCCCGATATAAGGCCTCATTTGGAGTACCATGTGCAAAAATTGGAAAAGATCCAGTGAAGAGCTATAAAAATGATCAATTGCCAGAAGAGTAAAAAGAAGAAAGTATGGCTATACTAGGAAAGAACCAAGATGCAGGAAGGGAAGGAAGGGGGGGGATTATTTACCTATTGATTAGAGTCAAAATACGGGAAGGTATAATTAGGATTCCCTAATATTTGGAACAGTCACTGAACTAACTACTTGAGAAGTTGGGGAATCTCCATTATGCGCAGGCATCTGTCAAGAAACTTAAGGTGAACATGCTCCTTTCTTAGAAGAAGAGAGATTAATTAGGTAATACTTGATGATGCTTTCAAACCTTAAGATTCTATTTTTAACATGCTATTTATATTTTATTTATTCAAAAATTTATATAATCTTCACTTTATCTATATGGATATACATAGGCGCCTGGCGAAGCACAATACAGATCAGTAGTAATCCCTTTCACATATAAGTTTTCAAGCAGGAATCCTGCTAAGCAGCTGCTAAACACTACATAAGTAAAGGCAGAAAAACAAGTATCTCAGCATAAGCAAGTTTCATTAGTAGGGTGCTGAGTCACTTAGAGATTATTACATATATATTTCACAGCAGTACAGATGGAAGGAAAACTGAGATCATGTACTACAGAAAGCTTCTTGAATTAAGGAAAAGAGATCTATTGCAATGGTGTGATGTGTGCAGAGTCCTCCAATATTTGATAGCTGAATTCCAACAATAAGTAGCTCAACTTTTGCTTCCCCCCACATATATTTTAAAGCATTTTAAATCTCCAGATCTCAGAGAATGACAAGAGCCTGGTAGTATCAGACCTTGGGAGAGAGGCATTTTGATATTCTTCATATTTTTCATGTTTATGTTTGATATCTCTGCCCTTGTTACAAATTTTATGAGCTCCACTGCTAAACTTTCTATCATTCTCACATTCTGTCACACATCAGTCAACATGCATTGCATAGTGCTCATGATATTATGAAAACCTTTGTGAAAATGAACAATGTATCTTATTTTGAAATAATTAAGGATTGTGCAAAAGTATTATTGGGAATTTTAGAAACATAATTTAGATCCTTTAAGAGCAAAAATTACATACATAAAACTCCAGATATGTCTGTTAACAGAACACCAAAGTAAATATAATACTGAGCCGTTCAACAGGAGTACAATCCCTTCCTCAAAGAAACGTTAAGAGATATTTAGCTTACCTGCTCTGTAGCTGTCGGACAGTAACACACTAATATTATGGTTGTGCAGATGTTTATTATCAGTCCAACTATTGTAATCAGATTAGGGGCAATCCAAGCTGGTACTCTTCTAACTAACCATTCCCAGTAACCTTGCATTAGTGGTTCAAGCAGGGACCGTCCAGCACTTTGATACTTGTGTTCTTCTAGCCGTTTTAGCTGATGTTTTGTCAAAGGTGGCGTAGGCAACTGAAGCAGTTTGCTTAATGTACATCCTGCTGAAGGAACATGACCATAGCGCACAGGGGATTCCAACTGCAATTCCCCACATCGTTTCTTCACGGATCGATTCCCACTCATGGGTTTATTAGCCTTGATGTTGTATTTGACAGTTTTTAACCGTTGTAAAGTATCTCAAGATCCTGGTCTATCTGGAACATAAAGTATTTAGATTAATGTAACAGGTGGAAAGCTGTCAGGAATGTCTCGAGTGTTTCATAGCAAAACTTGAGATATTTGAAGGCCCAAGCCTACTCACAAACAAAACAAATAGTGCTCAGAGATTCACATGACAGAATAAGTGCCCCCACTACAATTAGACAGGAACCATAAAATGAAGACAGCAGAAGTCATGGTTAGTTTCTTCCCAACTGGGGTGAGCAAAGCATGTGCAATCAGCTCATGCATGGTAATCCATGGCTTACAGTTTACAATGACATGTGAGAATGGCCACAGTGCCTGTCCCAGGCTATGCTGTTCTTCAGGTTGGCTCGGGATAGAGAAAACAGATCAGCCAAGACTTGCTATTAGTTTGTGGCCACCAACATGGCATTTAGCAGCCATTAGTCACAACTAAAAGCTACTTTAGGAGAATCTGGACATATACAGGGACATAGAACAAGGACTAGAACTATCTGAAATACAAGGATAATAAATGGTCTCTTTTTGATTGGGGGCATTTGGACATGCCAATTTCTCTAACTGAAACTTAAGTTTGTACTTCAAATAACACCTTTTTATTTGTTCCTTGCTATTAATACAAGCAGAAAGCATCCATCTGCTGCAATATGAGAAGTAGTTTTGCAAAGAGTGACAAGAAGCACAGGAAAGGAGAAAACTTTTACAGGATTCAGCAAAATAAATAGAAGATAAAGAGATAAAACTGAAGAAATCTTACTCAAGTCTTACGGATGATACAAAATGAAAGCATTTTTTTTTCTTGAACTCCCTCAGGTTGCCTAGAGTTCCAGAAATCATCTGTCCTTTAAAAGTACAACAGAAGCTTGCCAGACCCTTGCTAATAATTCACTTCAGTTAAATAAGCAGGTCAGAAGCACTGAGTCAATACAGTATCAACAGTCACAAACTAAAGAAAAAGCACAGTGCCAAGATCCAGTCCAAAGTCTCCTCTCTGGTCACCAGGCTACAAAAATTACTCCAAGGATGGGGGGGGGGGGAGAATGAGGAAACCCCACACCTGCCCTTAGGGAAGTGAAAGCACCGCACTTTCACTGTCAAGGAACATACTTTGCATGTAAGCCTCCCGTAAAGAGAACAGGGATGCCATAACGGCTGAAGGGAAGCAGGCGGCGAAGCTGATTGAAAGACCTATACCTGAGACCTTGAAGGGCCGCTACCTGGGCTAACGCTCTGGACTCCATGCAAGGCTGACCCTCCCGCGGTCTCGAGACACTAGGTGCAGCCTTGTCCTGAGCCTGCCACGCCTGTACCTGACGCAAACTGTGGCGTGCCTGCGTGTGTGTTTGTAGCGCGGAGGGTGGTTGTTTTGACTTGTCCCAGCAGCGGCACCCGCTCCGATTACACGGCTCCAAGGACTGACTGACATGACACGAACTGCGGCAGCCCACCCCCCTGTCTCTTGCTCTCTCTCGGGCACCGGGAGCCACGCACCTTCCCAGGCGGCCAGGGAGAGGAGCCAACGGCAAGGGCAGCCTCCGGGCTCCGCTTAGCGCAAGCCACCCGCCCACCATCCCCTGCGCGGATGCCCCGTAGGCTCGGCGGGCGAGAAGAGACCCCCGCGGTCCGACTCGCCGAAGGACCCCGGTGGCTGAGGTGGGGGGAGAACTCACGTTAGCCAACCCTCCGCTGGGCCCGGAGGAGACCCGGCGCTGTCGAAGGCCGAGTTCCCACCACCAACACCGCCCCCCGCCCGGCAGAGACCATGGCCCTGAAGCGCGCCGAAAAACACCCGGCATTTACCTCAACCAGCCTCTTCGCCCAGGCGGCGCTTTTACGTCCCTTTTGCGGCTGCCGTAAACAAGGCCGGGTTGGTGGTTGCTTAGGGCGGGCGCGCGAGCGGGCAGAGGCTCCTAACGGGGAGCCGGCGGGAGCGCGCGCGGGCCGGCGGCAGGCTGCTTGGCTGGCTCCAGGGACGCGCCTGGAAGGGAAGGCGGGAGTTGGCTGAGGGAGGAGGGAGCGTCGCGCGCGCCCGCCCCTGACCCGTTTCCTCCTCTCGCGTCCGCCCTTTCGCTGCTCCCCGCGCCGCCCACGAGCTCCCTCAGAGAGGAGGCGGCTGGAGCAGCGAGATGAGGGAGAGAGCGAGACGGTAAATTAACACCTCCCTGGAGGGTCGAATATCAAAGTGTGTACTTTGGCGTGAGGGGGACAGGGTCACCTCAGGTGCCGCGGGCGGGGAAAGGGAGCGCGCCTGCCTCCCGCCTTCCTCCTCCTTCTCCTCAGGAGGGTCGCATGAAAACGACTCTTCCGTGCCAAGGGCACCTTCTCCCCGCCCCGAGAGAGAGAGGGAGGGAGGGGCTGTGGCTTTAACAGCCGTATGGCAGGCAGACGTTCAACGGATTTAGTTTCCCCATTAAACACAGCCCCATACGCAGAATACCCGCCCCCCCCCCCGGTTGAACTTCTGGTAGCTGTTAAAGGCACACGAGTCGGTAAAGTGGAGGGAGAGGTAGCAACTGCAGTTGTCCCCTTTCTCAGCCTAAAGAGAGCTGGTGGCTGGTAAGAGTGTTTATTTTTCAGGGAGTTTTTTCTTTTGCCCGAGAATGGTAACTTTCTGGTAGCTTTTTTTTTATGCAGACGTTGAGACGTTCCCATTTGAGGGATGACTTCCCGCATTTGAGAAGACGAAATTATCATTATGACTATGCCTTTGTTTGCCCCAATGAAGGCTTTTTTTGTGTCTCCTAAATTAGTTGGGCTCTGCTTTGTAATCGAATGACTGTGCTCGGAAGAATCCTTCTTTGCACTCTTAGAGGGTAGGGAATTAGCTCTGTGCTATGTTCTGCAGTCGTGTCCAGCTTGAAGCTGTCTTTATTGACTAGAAAGCCACAAATCTTTTTGTTCTTGTGGCATTTTTTATTGTTTTGAACCAATGAAATAGCTGAGGAGGAAGAATAAACTAATAGCAACATCAGTTTAAATTAAAATCTGGGAGCCATGGAACTTTCAGAAACCAAATTTCCTACTATAGATCTACAGCTTAAATACTGCAGCTTTTAATGTTGAAAAGGAGTTTAATTTTTATCCATTGTAACTTAAAGATGCAGGTGAGATCCCATAGTATGAAATACTCAAAGAGATGAGAGTCAAAAATGGATGGATGTTTCTTAAAAGTGAAATATTGAAGGTGCAAATGCAGACAATTCCAACAAGAAAGAAAAATGGGAGGTAACTAAAGAAACTTTTTCTCACAGTGGCCAACTATATGCCTGTGGAAAACCCAAAAGCAAGACCTGAACATAAGAGCACTCTGCCCTCCTGTAGTTTGCAGCAACTGGTACTCAGAAGGATACTGTTCTGACCATGGAAGCAGAGCATAGGCATTGTGGTTGGTAGCCACTGATAGCTTTATTCCCCATTAATTTGTCCAATCCTTTTTTAAAAGCCATCCAAGTTGGCAGCCGTCACTGCCATATTTAGGACCTGGCTACATTTTGCATGCAAGCATATGGAAACCTGGGGGAAGGAAAAGTGGCTTTCAATGAAGGGTGATTGGTGTGGAGTGAATAAGTGGTAGGTAGAGAGAGGTTTTAACAGCCCCTTTCCCCTTACCTCGCCATTTCTCTGCTTCAAATCTTTCTCCTGCATCTAGTTTTTCCCTTTGGAAAGCAGCTCTGGATATTATGTGTTTGCAACATATATTTCCGTCCTTAGATAGGTGCATCAGATCAAAGTCAAAAAGCAGGTTTCACCATTGTAACCTGGGGTCAGTGGCCCTGACAAAGTAGAGTGCTGATATGAAAAGCAAATAGGGGAATAGGATAAGACCTAAGCCAAGTTCTAATTGTTTCCATTTCTACTTTATAATTTATACAACTTCTGACACTTTAAAGTGATGCACAGTTATTAACAAACTGCCCACATGTTTACAGTAGACATGATAGTAAATAAAAAGGAGTGGAGACAGTGGAAGAAGATTGGAAGAAATTTAAAATATACCTTAAAAATTGTTGTAACATTGAGGAGTGCTGAGATGCTATGGTGTTAAGAAACAGAGAATTGCAGCTGTAAATCATAAATTTAAGGGAATTATAATGAAGATGAGTTAATTAATTAAATGGAGGGTTGCTGTCAAAAGGGAAAAATAAGGATGCAGAAAAAGGGAGGTATGGGGAAGTCCGGGAAATAAGGTGAAGGGAAATGAGTTTATGAAATTATACATGTTTATTTGTTTGTGTGTTTTGTTTTGTTTTATTGTTTGTTTTTATTACATGTTTGGAAAATTAATAAAAATTATTTAAAAAATAAAAATAAAAAGGAGTGGAAAGGGAAGGGGAAAACAAACAAATTAAAAGTTTTTAAAAGTTATGTAACTGGTGACCCACTAGAATAGCCACTGAGAATATTTCCATGTTCACTATTAGAGTAATTCTGTAGCTGTGTTAAACTCTTTAATTCTGTAATCTGTATAATTTATTCAGATTAGAATGTAGTCCGCTTTGACCTCTTATGGAGAAGTGTAAAGATCCATGCAAGGCATTAAAACTCTGCCCCCCCCCTCGGAAATACTCCCCCACCCACCTGAGACTCATCATGTATAGCTCACATACTTTGTGTCCTATTTTTACAACCACAAGGGAAGGAAACACTTTTTAAAATGAAAGGTGAGGTTCTCAGCAAACTGAATTCTGCCCACAATGCCATGTACCACATTTTCATGTACTTGTATGAATTTGGAAATTGAACACATCTACCTACAATCTATGGTTTAAATTCTTATCTTGGATAAATAAAAACAGCATGCTGGTAATATTAAAATTAATATTCTTACAAAATATTTTTTAGAGCAGGGGTAGGCAACCTAAGGCTCATGGGCCGGATGCGGCCCAATCGCCTTCTCAATCCGGCCCGCAGATGGTCTGGGAATTAGCATGTTTTTACATGAGTAGAATGTGTCCTTTTATTTAATATGTACCTCTGGTTTATTTGTGGGGCCTGCCTGGTGTTTTTACATGAGTAGAATGTGTGCTTTTATTTAAAATGCATCACTGGGTTATTTGTGGGGCATAGGAATTTGTTCATTATTTTTTTCAAAATATAGTCTGGCCCACCACATGGTCTGAGGGACGGTGGACCGGCCCATGGCTGAAAAAGGTTGCTGACCCCTGCTTTAGAGCTTGGAACAGATTCAGAAGAATATTAAGGGTAAAACTAGATGGTTCCAGCACATTACCAAATAATGGAGTGTAGAAAGGAAGACCTGCAATCTTTTCAAGCCCACTGATGCTCCCCTACACTGTGTTGTCCATTTTTAAGCAGAAATATAAACCAATATCTAAGGCTGGGATTGCTGTTGTTACTGTGTAAACATGAAGTTATGCTCACAGTTAGATAAAAAGGACCCCACTTTTACAATGCCCATATTTTTTCTCCAACTTTAGGTGGAGATTGACCCAGGTTATTCCAAGTAGTATCAGCCTGCTCCTCTCTTGGAAACAATAATTGCTCTTTTCTAATGTGTTTATTTCCAGTCTTTAGTCATGGCACTTGATTTTTTTTAATCCTCTTAACAGTTATGCAGGTTTTCATATGTTCCCATTGTGTATTAGAAGATTATTTTTCACCATATGTGGAATTTGCTGTCATGCCATCCATCTCTTTTATGCTTTTACGATATTGCACATAATTGGTAAAACAGTGATCATTTTTATATCTCTGCCAAGAGATGAAACAGCCAAGAAAACTAGGAAGATTTGACACTGTTTATTACATTCTTTCTTTCCCATGCCCCCATCTCCTTTTTCTAAAAAGAAATTAGTCTTGCACATATTCAAAATACATTTCTGCTTTCTAGTTTCCATTCAGCTTCTGTATTGCAATAACTTTCTGTTTCCTGGTTTGTGTTGGTATTGCAGTGCAGGCACGGAAAGTGAAACAAGCTAATCTCTCGGGACAAAAGTCTTGAGTCAGTAAAATTGTTTGCCTGGGTGTGTTTCTAAACACAAAGAAGACTGCATACGAAAAGAATTGTTTGCTTTTAAGGGCAAGGAAGGGGAAGAGAAAACATAGTTAATGGTATCTCTTCATTCTTCAGTGTTTGGACTTGGAAGATGATTTTGAGATGTGGTGGTTTCAGCAAGGTCTGAGCATCTTGCCTTCTGCCCTCGTTATTTGGACATCTGCTTCCTTTGTGTTTTCATACGTTACTGCAGTCGTCTTACATCATGTTGACCCTTTGGTGCCCTACATCAGGTCAGTAAGACTTTTACTATTGCATTGTTACATACAGCGGTACCTCTGATTATGAATGCTTCAGGTTACAAACTCTTCAGGTTACAAACTCCACTAACCCGGAAGTAGCTGCTCCTGGTTGCAAACTTTGCCCCAGGATGTGAACAGAAATCGCACACCAGAAGCATGCGCACGGCAGGAGGCCCCATTAGCAAAAGTGTCCCTCAGAAGAACAGTTTCAGCTTAAGAACGGACCTCCAGAATGAATTAAGTTCGTAACCAGAGGTACCACTGTATAACAAAATATCACTGCATAGGAAAGCACACACCCCCTTTGGGGGGTATGGAACTCCTAATTTTAAAAAAGTCATATGCATACCAATTTAAAGTTCTTTCATTTCTATCTAACAATGCTGAAAAACGTGTTCCTCTCCCCTCGGCTTTGCTGGAAGGTGAAGTTCGTATACTTCCCAATTCCTTACAGAGGAGTATGGCAAAATCAATAAATGGTTATAGGTTATAACTTGCCTGCAGCCATGTTTTAACTATAGGAGACTGCAAGAATCTGCAGCTGTAATAAACTGCATACACATTTTGACTAAGATACAGATTCCTATTTGGCTATTCCCAGGCAATGTGGGTGTAGCTGCTGTGATCACTGGAAACCAAGAGGCAGGGAGAAACCTGCATCCGAGTTATCCATTTTCTTCATTAACATGCCAGCTACAGGTCCTAGAGCAGGTCAGTTAGATTTTTCCTATGATGCATATATTGCTTGTAACCAAACATCCATAAGAGTTTCTTACAGTTTTAATTAAATATATAGTTTTAAACGCCATTGGATAAGTATACATATTTACAAGAAAACTTGTGTGGTGGTGGGAGTGGGGGAGTGTTGCAGAGTCACTGCTTCTCAACCTACACTACCTCACAGTGTGGTTGTGAGGATAAAATGAGGAAGTGGGAGCACCATGCACTCCACCATTAGTTCTATGGAGGAAATGTGGGATATCACTATAATGTAAATACATATAAATAAATTAGTACTATAGAAAAAATAATCTAATGTGTTCAGTTGAAGAAAAATCATATTGCTGATATGAACACTCTTCCCTTTCATATGTTTTCAGGGTCCTTGATTCATTATTCATAATGCCTTATATCTGGGGTGGCAGATAAACCTTAGAATCATAGAACTGCAGAGTTGAATGGGATCCAGAGGATCATTTAGTCCAACCTCCTGCAATGCAGGAATATGCAGCTTTCCCATACAGGAATCGAACCTGCAACCTTGGTGTTCTCAGCACCATGCTCTCACCAACTGAGCTATCCATTTCTAGGCCTTGTCATGCCTGATGTCAGGGAACCTTTTTTCAGTTCTGGGGCTGCATCCCCTTTTGGGCAACCTTTCAAGGACCACATGCTAGTGTTAGGCAAAACTAGAGGCTGAGCAATGAAAGGCTAGTTTCTGCACATATTCACACACCCCTCTGTATCTCCAAGCAGAAAAGCAAGAGGCGTTATCAGAATACATGGCCACATGCTAGCCTGGCAAAAATTGTTGGGGTGTGAAGCAAGGCCGGTGAAGTGTTGTGGTCTAGGGAGAGCTCCAAGGGCCACATTTGGCCTGCCAGCCTGAGGTTTCCTGCTCCTGCCTTGTGTAATTCACTGGGCAGTGTTAAAAATCAGAGATCCAGCATGCTGTAAGCAAGAGAAAGGATTACTAGCAAATATTTTCAGCAGATAATTTGTAACTGGGTGGAGGTACAGGTCTCTGTTTCTGGGTGAATACATAGCATATAGGCAGCCTGATAAGACTGCACTTTGCCTTTTAGAACTTTGCCATTATTCGTGTATTGAAATTCTTAAATGACTTGGAGTCAGAAAATTTGTCAGACGTTGGTAAGCTTTAGCCATGCATAGCTGGCTGTATTAAATAAATAAATAAAAAGGCTCTATATTTGGCAAACAACCTTGTATAAGTCTTTAAAAAACTTGTTCCTTTAATAAATATAATTGTGCTAGATTTTCCAGCATTAAAAACTTACTCTATGCATTTTGAAATAATACAAAAACCAAATGAATCATGCCTCAAGTACTACATGGGCATGGATTTGTTTTTGGTTGCTTCCCTTTTGATAGTTGTATTTTTTCTCCATCTTCTGCTTATTCTTGATACTTACAAATTGGTATTTAAAAATTTAAATGTCTCCCATTTGGTGAGTTTTAGAGTCACTGTATCTTACATTGCTTTTCTTTCAGTGACACAGGAACAACACCCCCTGAAAGATGTTTGTTTGGGATAATGTTAAACATTGCCGCTCTTTTGGGTAAGTACGGGGGGGGGAGGAATCCTAGGCTTCTGAAAGATGCTTAGACTTAGGCTTTGTGAGACTCCAGAGGGAAGGAATTCTGTCTCTGTAGCATAGCTATTGAGATGCCCTTGTCATGTGGAAAAGGTGCACTGATGGAAGCGAGACAAGGACACCACAACAACTCTTCTTAAAGATTTCCATGGCAAATACAGGTGGCAATATGATTATTGACTATTCATTATTCCATAAATAATCCTGCTAAATCTGCCTGTCTCATAGTAGGCAAGTAATTGTATATGACACAGAATCTTGTGACAGCTTAAAAACTTACAAATGTGTTAAGGTGTAAGACAAAGGGTTTTGAGATACTACATAGTTAATAGCCATACCAATGCCAGGATGTTTGTTATAAACAACTGTTTGGGAATTCTCTCTTAATATATGATTAACACTGTTTTGTGCTTCCTGTATTTCATTTCCTTCTGATCATACTGTTTACAATTTTGCTCCTGCAAAACCATGTGAATATATCCCTATAACTCAGGAGAATACTTCATGCATCTAACAAAGTGAACAAATCCATGAAAGCTTCTACCCTAATCAATTTGTTAAGTCATTTAAAGATGCCATGATAATCTTTGTTCTTTTTGCTGCAACATACTAACATGGCTACTCTAAAAGTATACGTCATAGAAGTAAAATTCATCTGCCCTCAGGGCTGCATTCACAGACTTTTTCCCCTCCTATTGTATTTTGAGTACCTGACAGCTAGTTTTAGGTGGCCACCAATTATACTTGGCTTCTTCCAATGGCAGTCTTTTATACCATAGTCTTACTGTGCTGTATTTGGATTCACAGGCATGGCAACCATGTATGTCCGATACAAACAAGTTGATGCTTTGAATCCTGACAACCCCAAGATCTTCAAGTTAAATAAAGCTGGCTTTGTGTTAGGAACAGTTAGTTGCTTTGGGCTTTGCGTCATTGCAAACTTCCAGGTTTGTACTTCATCTTTAATTGTTTTGGAATTTAGGATATGATAGGCTTTTTTTTTCTCCAGATAAGTTACCTATTGATTGTCTTCCAGCATAAATTTGGGTAGTGAATGCACATGAAACACCATTTTTCATCTGATAATAGGTTTGTGTTTACAATTGGGCTTTGGTTGTCAGGCCACAATTGTACGATTGCCATGACCTTGCTGTACATTTACTTGGTAGCAATTAGTGCTGTTTTGTTTTATTGGTGTGAATTTCAATATTTACACCTGACTTGTTAAGCAAAACTTATCTTTTTTGCTGTAAGCCGCTTGGAGATATTCAGGTGACAAGTGACTAATAAGTCTAAGAAATGAAATGAAATGCTCAGGCACAAAGCTTATTGGATGGCCTTGGTCCGGTTGCAGTCTCTCAGTCTAACCTTCTAAGAGTTGTGCTATCAGAGTTCTAGACACACATAATGCAGCAACCTTCAAGCTAGACATATCTGAGTCTGGTCAGTAGTTGGGTGAGAGACTATCTGGAAACCACATGTGTGCAACTTTGAGCTTCCTGGAGAAAAGCTAGCATGTAAACTATTATTTTCCACTAAAGAGTAGGGTAAAAATGTTTTAAGTGTAAAAAATACAAAACATCAATTAAGTCTGGGAGACAAACGTAAAAAATAGCTATATGATTTTGCTATCAAACCACATTTTTTTTTGAAAATATGAATTCTCCTTGGGAGCCACCCCTCTAAAGTCTCAGTTTATTGACTGAATTGTTCAGCTTTCAAATATTACTTGGTCAAACCAGCTTTGAAACCTGTGTTCTTTTCCTCCAGAAAAGCACTTTATTTTCTATGCATGTAACCGGAGCCTGTCTCACGTTTGGAATAGGAGCCATTTACATTCTGGTTCAAACAGTTCTTTCCTACAAGATGCAACCAGGGATTCATGGGAAGGGCATTTTTTGGATCAGACTGACAGTTCTGCTGTGGTGTACATCCAGCATAGTGAGTAGTATCCTTTGTGGTGAAATGTCATTAAAACAGTGAACATGTATAATTTATATTCAAATAGTAGAATGTGAACACAAGACTGCAGTTCAACTCATCCATGTTTTATTCGGAAGTCTCTGTGACTTCAGTGGGTGTTAGTATAAGAACATAAGAAGAGCCCTATTTGATCAGACCAAAGGTACTTCCGGCTGACTTTCTTTCCTAACCCAAAGGTTTTAAATGTTCTAGCCTTTCCTTCTATGGAAGGTTCTCAAGCCTTCAGATAGTTTTGGTTCTTTTTCTGCATCTTTCCCAGTTCTCTGATGCTTATTTAAGAATACGTAGGATTTTAAATGCAGCTGCATCATATATTTGTATAATGGCATTACGATGATGTCACTGGTGCCAATTACAGCCTCCCTCCCAGGAAAAATAAAGCATAGGGATTTTCATAGGGATTGCAGCACAGAAAGAAATGGTTAACCTCCCTTCCTGCACATCACAATCACAACCTGCAGCTACTACTCAAAAACATGCTGAATGTATTCATACTTCTCTGCATAGGGACTAGGCTGCAAATCTATTTTGTAAATAAATGACTAAGATAAAGTTGAATGGTTTCTCAAATGCTGAAAGTGCAAAGCAGATGTTAGGGGTATTTGAAAGGAAATCCATTTGTGAGTCTCTAAATCTCAACTATATTGGTATACATTTCACAAGAGGTAAGAAAAATATTCTGTTTGGCATTGATGGGGAGAGCAATCAAACCTGTCGGAAGCCAGTGTTAATTGCACTGGGGTAAATTATGCTGCTGTTAATTCACTCCTATTCCAAACTCCATTCAGGAGTAGGACTGAGTGAGCCCAAGCCTGAAGAGGGAAAACAAGTCTTTAAATAGAGTTTGTCTTCCACCACCCTTTTTGCAAGTAAATTTACCATTGAGCAGCCAAGTCATGCGACTGAGCTGAATTTGGAAAAGAGGCAAGTCTTCTGCCTCTCCACAGAACACAACTTTTTCAGGACTCATTCCAGTGCTGGCTAGAAGAGTATGCGGGTCTTCAGCCGGCTGAGCTTAGGCTCAGCCCAGAGATACACCTGTTCCAAACTCCACTCATCCTGGCAGATCTTGGATTTGGACTGCTCCCTAAGTCTCAGCTGAGGCATTTGGTCAGTTTATGGTTATCACATTTTTAAAGGACATGGACAAACTGAAGAGACCAGCAAAACGGAAGATCCATACCAGGAAAAATAATATCTCTTCTATTTCTTGCTATGAGTCAGCCAATAAACCAGAGAGCCCCTAGATCAGAGAAAAAGCAAATAAGGGCAAGCAAGGATGAATGTAAAGTGAGGGTGCTCCATATGCCTCATGGATGTTCCTTAACCTGCTAAAAGTGTTTATTTCTTCAGTCATTTTGTACAGTGGCCTGTGTGGAACAGGTTTAGTACAGAAGCTGCATTGGGACCCCCAGGAGAACGTAAGTTTCATATTCTTATGAGAAAAGATGAAGAAACAATGGAAATTTGTCCTCTGCATTGTAGCATATATAGGGGGGGGGCTATGCACACACACACACTAAGAAACAAACAGCTAAGTAGTCACAGTAAAAAATTATCAGGGCATACAAAAGTAAGGCAGTGGTGATATAGGGAGCTCAAAACCCACTGTTGGCTTGACTGTTTAACCAGAAGGTACCTGGAAAGTTAGAAACCAGATTGCATGACAGTTGCCCTGCCTGAGCTTCTGCCAATTTGCTAGCTTCTTTGAATAGTCCCCCCCCTACAAAGTAGCACATAAATTAACAAACATAACCCTAAAAATAGTATGAGACAAGTATTTCTCACATTTTCTATAAATATTGCAGCCCATTTCATGCCAGTCCAGTCTAGAGAAATGTGTAAGAAGAGCTCAGTTGGGTCGGCCAGATGTCTGTGGGATGCCCACAAGCAGGGTATAAAAGTAATAGCCCCCAGTTACTCTTCAGCAAATGGCATTGACCATCTTCAGTTATAGTGCTAAACCATGGTTTAAGCGCAGAGATGGAGATTCTCCAGCTCACAAGCCAGTCTTTACCCACCAGGGGGGTCAAAGTTGGGCTATGCAGCCATTTCCCCCAACTGCTTAGTGGGGGTTAAACCCTGCTCTGTTTGATAAGATTCCATGTAAATCCCTTGTTCAAACAGGGTTTCTTCCCATTATGCTACATGAATAAGTGTAGCCTCCTCCTAGGCTTGCACGTTTCCCTTCCTTCCTTTCACATGGAAGCGAGGCTTTTGCTTTCCTTAACTCTGCCCTGTTTTTGTCTGAACTGTGAATTGTGGTTAAACACACTATGGTAACACGATATATCTTTATTTGAAGGAGGCTTATTTTGAAATTAACTGTAATTAGTATTAACAAACCTTACTTAGCTTTTTGGATGAAATGACAAACCACATTTAAAGGGAAAGAAAAAGCTAGTGTCTAGTGCTATATGAATGAGGAACCTAGGCTCATTCACATAGCACTAGATGATGGTGTAGCATTCTTCCTTAACATGGTTATTCACTGGCCTATTGCCTCTGAACCTGGAAATAACCAAACAAAAATGTATGGAGCGCAAATCAGAACTCATTCACTGCCATTCTGTATACTGTCCAAATAAGTGGCTATGGGAAAATCAGCCCTCAACACACTTTCCATACACGTATTATCCATGACACTATTTTAGAAGGAACAAGAGCAACCTGCAACAAAATGCTGCAGTGTATCCCCAGTTGTAAAAGGGTGGTTTGCATTCAGGGTTTCATCCCCCCATCCTAATTTCCTCTAAATACAGTATTCAACTCATCCCCATCTGTTCCATTTTTCTTTTCCAACTATTACTGTAAACGCTATGCCTCCTGAGCATGCCTAGTCATCCATGAGCTGTTTTTATAGGGTTTGCCCCCTTGTGTTCATCTTTTCAAAAACAATTCATACCTTTTTTGCAATCTGTGGAGTTCCCCTAAGCATGCTGAAACTTCCCTCTTGTTTTGACTACTTGTTGACAGTCACTTAATTGCTATTAGTGATCTTTCACCACTAAGATGTATTCTCATAGAAATCTGTTTTTGTCTTCTACAGGGTTACACTTTTCACATCATGAGCACAGTCTCTGAGTGGTCCTTGGCTTTCTCTTTCCTCAGCTTTTTCCTTACTTATATTCGTGACTTCCAGGTAAACCAATGCAGGTTTTTAGTTGAATAACTTCTAAGCGATAATAGATATTCTTAACCATCCTGAAGTTTTGGGGAGTGGCTTAACCCAACAAGGAAGGCACTTCATGGGATAATATGAAATGTGAATTTCCATGGCAAATCATGTAAGGTAAATATCACCCCATGCTAAAAACTTGTGGCTTTTGATCTGTAAACTCCCTCTTTGACGTACATGACTGGCCACTATTAAGACAGTGTATACACTAGATGGCCACTATTAAGACAGTATATGCACTAGATGGAGCACAGAAATTAAAATGGCTGTTTTTCTGAGCTACAAGAGAAAAAAGAACAACACTTCATACAAGCATATTTTACTTTCAGAGGCTGGCATTGCAATATTACCTTTTTCAGAAATCTGTTTTTAAGCATGAAGAACAACATTTTGTCCGTGTTGTCTCCCTTGCTTATGAAAACAAACACAACTCTGTATACAATGAAAGTATAATATGCACTGAATGTCCCAGTGCAATTGGTATTATGACTCAAAATAAAATCCACACAAGGCATGTATGTAGTCACAAAGAACTTGACAAGAATATATGCAGTCTTGCAATTTGCCATTCAATATAACCAAGAGTTCAGCTATGTAATAAATCTTCTAGATAAGACTGTGTACATGAAGGACACTGGCAACAAGGCTATGTATGGTTTTCGTTTTGTTATGTCTTCTTGAGGTTGCTTCAGATACACTGATAAATGTCAAGTTTATGCTCATAATGAGGCCAGCTTCTGACTTGCATGGGCACTTAGCTCCTAGTAAAATCCTTGCTTATGAGCCAATACCAAATTACAAAGCAATGCATGAAACCTTTCTTTACAAGTGTCTCAAGGATCACTGGATTTAGTGATGGAAAACCATTAAAAAATTCATTTCTGCTACGCACTTCAGAATGTTATTCTATTTGATGAATTTATACCCTACCTTCCCCTTAAAGGGTGATTCCCCACCACCAGCCTTTTTTTGAGAATTAGGACACTTTTAGTTCCTTGCCATATCTGTTTATTTAAGGCAGGTAGGAAGTCCAGATAACATTGGACTCCCCACTTCCATCCTCCCCAGCAAACATGGCCACAGGTCAGATTATTATGGGAGTTCAGCAATATCTGGAGGACCACGGGTATCCCACCCCTGGGTTTAAGTGTTCCAACAAATCCCTCCAGGTACATCTGTAGCATAGCTGGGGAACCTCAGTCCTGTGGGTTAGATACAGCTCTCAAGGCTTCTCTATCCAGTCCTTGTCACAGCCCTACTCAATACCCCTCCTCAAGTTCTTTTGCCTTGCTAGAATGTGTCCTTAGAATCATAGAACATAGGATCATAGAGTGAAGAGACCAAAGGCATCGACAACCCCCTGCCAGCAGAAACACCATAAGCACTCCTGACATTGTGTCAAGCTCTCTAAGCTCAAGAAGAGACTCCACACTCCTTGCAGCTTCCCTGTCGAACAGCTCTACTGTCAGGAAGTCTCTAATTTAGTGGATCTTCTTTCTTGTAGTTTGGATCCATTGCTCCGTGTCCGCTTCTCTGGAGCAGCAGAAAACAACCTTTCTCCCTCCTCTATGTGACATCCCTTTATATATTTGAACATGGCTATCATATCACCCCTTAACCTCCTCTTCTCCAGGCTAAACATGCCCAGCTCCCTTAGCCGTTCCTCATAAGGCATCGTTTCCAGGCCTTTGATCATTTTGGTTGCCCTCCTCTGGACACGTTCCAGTTTGTCAGTGTCCTTCTTGAATTGTGGTGCCCAGAACTGGACACAGTACTCCAGGTGAGGTCTGACCAGAGCAGAATACAGTGGCACTATTACTTCTGGGCTGTGTTTCCTCTGCTGAATCATTTGCTCCAAATTCTTCAGGTCGGGCATTGTTTTCTTTATCGGAGAAGACTGAGGCAAAGAAGGCATTGAGGAGTTCAGCCCTTTCTGTGTCCCCTGTTTGCATTTCACCATCTTCTCCTCTGAGTGACCCCACGGTTTCTTTGTTCTTCCTTTTGCTACGGACATACCCATAAAAGCCTTTTTTGTTGCTTTTAACCTCTCTAGCAAGCCTGAGTTCATTCTGTGCTTTAGCTTTCCTGACTTTGTGTCTACACGTGCTGGCTATTTGTTTGAATTCCTCTTTGGTGGTTTCCCCCCTTTTCCATTTTTTGTACACATCCTTTTTTAATCTTAACTCAGTTAAAAGTTCTTTAGATAGCCACCCTGGCTTCTTTAGGCACCTTCCATGTTTCCGTCTCATTGGTATTGCCTGACGTTGTGCTTTTACTATCTCCCTCTTAACAAACTCCCAGCCATCATGAACTCCCTTTCCTTTTAGTATTACTGTCCATGGGATTTCACCCAGCACTTCCCTAAGTTTTATGAAGTCGGCTTTCTTAAAGTCAAGAAATTGAGTCCTAGTATGCTTGGCTTAAACTGTGATAATTCCTCTGGTTTATGTGGATTGAGAGATGTGGGGCTTGTATAGCTGGAATGTAGCCTACTGTAAATAGGTAAGAGTTGTATCCATTATTTTACCCGCTTTTACCTCTGGCCCACCTATTACTGGCATGCAGCTGCTGGAATGTTCCCCATGAGGAAATGCAGCCATTGAGCTGAAAAAAATCCCACCACACACCTCTGGAATTACCGTATTTTTCGCCCTATTGGACGCTCCGGCCCATAGGACGCACCTAGATTTGGGGGGGGGATAAAGGAAATATTTTTTATCTCCCCCCCCCCACAGGCGCGGGGCGGGGGCGGGGGAAGCCCGAGCTTCCCCCGACCCCAGCCCCAGAACGGGTCTGCGCGACCCTCGGGAGCCCGGCGCAGCTTCGCGTGGAGCTGCGCCGAGCCTGGGAGTGCAGGCAGCTCTGCACGACCCTCGGGAGCCTGGCGCGGGAGCCTGAGGTTGCGCAGAGCTTCCTGAAGCCTGGAGAGCAAGAGGGGTCGGTGCACACCGACCGCTTTCGCTCTCCAGGCTTCAGCGAAAGCCTGTATTCGCCCCATAGGACGCACACACATTTCCCCTTCATTTTTGGAGGGGGGAAAGTGCGTCCTATAGGGCGAAAAATATGGTAAAAAAACAACAGCCAATAGTAATCCAAACCAGTGAGACCCATGAATTCCACCATCACCACCCAGTGAAGGAAGATCTAGTGGAGAACTGTTTGATGTTGCAGTTGTTGCTCTGCGAAAATAGATCGACAGACCTTATTCATTCTTTTCCACCATTGTTCCCTTCTTCAGAAAATCTCTTTGCGTACAGAAGCACTGCTGCATGGGCACAATCTTTATTATACACATCAGCAGCTACTAACAGATGACCAAGGAATGCCAACCACAGGGAATATATGAGAAGATAACAATGGAGAATGAGTATGAATTGGATCTAAAGGTGGAATCCGTCCATCAGAGAATGGCTTTTTCTGTCAGAAGGGAAACTTTGGATCAAACACTAGCTTTTAATATCTGATGAACCTATGTTGGTTTTGTGTCTAAAAATCCAATGTTGCCTGAGTGCACTTCTGCTCACACAATGGGACTTCCCTATCCTCTCCCCAAATCTGTCCTGGAAGGCCACCTAAGTAAAGTGAAGTGCCATTGCTCTTGAGCACAGACACTGTTGGATTTCACTGAGTTATGCCATCAGTCTTAATATGCAACTAACAAGATAGATGCTTACTTGTCTCATTGTCATCAACCACATCTACAACTCTATAAATGTGTTTTAAGATTTAGCACATTCTGTGCAAGCAGTAAAAATGTGTCATTTCATATGCAAATATTGATGAAGGATTGTTAATGAAATCTGTCACTTATGTGAAAATATTTTTAATTAACCCATAAAGCAATGCAATTCCGAATATGAAGTAATACTGCCAGTAGCAGCCTGCAACATTTCTTCTAGATTTTTATAAACTGAATAATAAAATACAAATTAAAGTTTGCTGACTGAAGTCCATGATTCTGCATACTCACGAAAGGAGATGGGATTGAAAAATTTCCATGTATAGGTTAAATTAGGGGTCAACCACCTTTCTGGGCCAGTGGGCACACCTGGAATTTTGAGAGTTCTATGGGTGCTAGCCACAACATGGTTGCCACGTTGGGGGGGGGGGAGACATAGAAGGGTACAGTCATTGCACAGCTCCTCCCATAATTGTATTTTCATACTACTTTGTAGAATTTCTGAATCAAACAGAAGCCTTCTCTTTGCTAAGCAACATGTGGAAATTTCCTTCCAAAACTACTGATGGTATCACTTCCCCTGCAGCTTAACAAAATTTGGATGGTGTTTAGAATCTATGTAAGAGAGCCAGCTTGCTTTTTCCTGCTCCAGAACATGAACCAATGGATTCAAGTTACAAGAAAGAAGATACCAACATCAGGAAGAACTTTCTCACAGTGGAACAAATTCCCTTGGAAGGTGGTAGATTCTTTCTCCTTGGAGGTTTTTAAGCAGAGGTTGGATGGCCATCTGTCATGGATGCTTTAGTTGAGATTCCTGCATTGTAGGGGTTTAGACGAATGACCCTTCCAACTCTACAACTCTATGAGAGAAGGACAAGTTGGGATATGCCTGTTCTAAACTTGAGAACTTGAGTGGATTTTAAAAATCAGAACCCTTTGTCTTTTCGAAGAACAAACATTTTCTATATCCCACACATATTCTGACATCATACGCCGGTATCAACAAGAAAGACAAGTTAAATTTTTGTTTTCATAAACAGTAAAGTTATGGTACCGCCAATGTCAATGGAACCCAGGTGATGGGGCTGTCTTCTCTTACATAGTAAGAGGGAACTGAACAGTAGGCAACTGAATAAAACAAAAGATTGTTATGAGATGAACTTGTTTCTATATATTTTAGGACAACCAAAACCATTTAAACCACTTGTATTCATATACAATTCAAGGTAGCCGGTTATTAATGGATTACCAAGAATAATTAGCTAAGGGAACATATTCTATATGGCATTGTGGCCAATGGTTTAAATGCAACCAAATTTTGAGAGTGCCAAAACAAACAAACAAACGAGAACACTACTGGAACATTTTGTGGCAGGAATCTACATATGCAGTGCCTTGATGAATACATTTTTACTGTCAAATATGTTCCAACATGATATAAAACATACCAAATTAGACCAGTAAGTATTCTATTCAAACTAAACCAGAAGATACATACACTTCAATGAGGGCAAGAGCTTTACAAATAAGGGAGAGAGGTACCTCAGAAAAGAGCATGGCTGGCTGTCAGGCATCCTGAATACGATCATTACAGCACACCACTTTGTTGCAGATCTCACCTGCTCTAATTAAAAACTGAACTGGGTGAAGTTAAAGAGTTGATTTTTTTCAAGCTGGCTTAAGGAAATTCAATCAAACTGTTTTATCACTAAAGAAACTTGACAAATTCAATACTGTTACCCCATTCATTGACATTTGATTCCGAGTACCCAATTCAAATAAGTTAATACTAGCAATTTTTCTAGAAACTTCCTTTTTCTGAAACAAACTTAAGCTGTTCCTTTTAACGTAAAACTGAAAAAAAAATCATTTACATTTCATTCTATGAAACGACCTCAATAAACAACAATAACATAAATTGCATTTACTGAAATAATGAGAGAATATATTGAACTAACAAGTATCACATTCTGCAAACAATACTCTGCTACATAAGTTCCTAGGCTTGAAAATGTTTATACTTGCACTCAATATGTAAACATAAAAAACTTGATTTTTTATTTGCTTTATATGCAAGAAACAAGAAATAACATTAAGTTGCAAAGGGGTTGCAGCAAAATTTGGGGCTAAGTAAGGACTAGGCTTGTCACGTCTGCTGCATTTTTTTACGAATTTCCTCTAGTGCTGCCTCTCGTTCCCTCAGCATGAGTTTAAGCTTTGCTATTTTTTCATCTCTTATTGTTTCCTCCAAATCTGGAGGGTTAAATGAAAAATCTTCTCTGAAAGTACCCTTGCTTAAAGGAGTTTCATGTTCACTGTAGTGTAAAGCTGAGGTTGAAATTTTGTTCTCTTCATTACTCTGAACACAAAGATTTGAGTGTGGGTCCACCCTTTGAGAGAACTGCAGAATGCTTGTAGGATTTCCTTGCTCTGATACAAGTTGTGTGCAAGAGCTACTCGGGTTATCCACTACTGAGTCAGAGTTGCCACATTTCAAATTTGGCTTTGGTATAGATTGTATTTCTGTTTTCTGCTTCTTTGTATTTTCTTGTATTGGTAGCATTTTTGCCTTCCTCTTTATATTCAACTCTTCCTCCTGTTCCTCAGTTATCTGTAAGGGGGGAGGGGAGAGAGAAGAATATTAGGTAATACTATATTATTGCGACATTATAATTATTCAGAAAAATAAAATATATAGTCCACAAAGCTATTTTATAACTTGAACTATTCTAATTGCTTAACTACCACCAATGTATTCCATGCCTTGGGATTGTATAAACCACTATAGGCAATGATAGTTTTCAGTATCAGTGGAAAAGGAGTGGGTTAGATTTGTATGAAAATATCCACCTAGTATCATGGAATATGCCCTACTCACAAATCATGTGGGGTTTTTTCAGTAATAGTAAAATTCATTAATGTTATCCCCCCCCCTACTGCCACTCACTTCCAGTAGAGCATGCAGTAAGTCCCAACCAATACCTGGACAATACTGGGCTAGATTTTCCTAAAATTCTGACCTACATTCCTAAAATCTACTGAACATGTACCAATTTTTGTTAATTTTATTAACAAATTCATAAACCACTTCATAGCATAAAGCCAACCAAGTAGTGTGCAATATAAAAACCAGAATAAAACATGAGTTCTAAAAACAAATCACTCCAGAAAATAATACTACAATCTCTACAAATTCTAAAACATTAAAGCCATTTCTTCTAAAGTATTTCCAAAAATTTAAAAATAATAAAGCTATTTATTCAGATACACTATTGTTCAACCAGTGACTTCAGAGAAAGGCTTCTTAAAAATGATTTAAGTAGGCGACCAAACATCGTGACACTAGGCTGTCTAATTTCAGCTAGTAAGTGATTTCAGAGGGTTGAAACCAAAACACGAAAAATCCAGTTTCTAGTAAATGTAATGGCCATTTTAGGCATGTCCTGCTGATGTGTGATCGCCGACATGCGGGTCCTTATGTACCTGGCGGGGTATGGAGTGCTTATATGTGCTCCGCTGATGCATGTGGGGGCTGTGAACAGAACACACTGCACAAAATTGTCACCGCCTGTAAAAAAAGCACATTTCTGGGGCAAGGTGGTCCCTTAGATACCCTGGCCCCAAATTGTTTAAGGCTTTAAATGCTAACAACAAAACCAATGAACCGCGCTTATTAGCATATTGGCAGCCTGTGCAGCTCCCTCAACCGATATTTTCTATGGTGTTGATGGAGTGCCACAATCAACAACCTAGCTGCTGCATTCTGCACCAGCTGTCGCTTTTAAATATATGTCAAAATATTTCCCAAGTTAACATAATCATAGAAATTACTTTTCAGTGCTAGGGCCCCATGAAGATTTTTCACAATACCCTTTCTCATTTTCTCTACCTTTCTTGGACTTGTTTTCCCTCGCCCAATTTACTCCACCCATCCTCTCGGGATTCTCTTTTTCTTTTTGTACACAGCATACTCATTCTCCCTTCTCCATTCATTTTTCTCTGCTTTACTACGTGTCCACATGGCTCATTCTATACCTATTACAGTGGTGCCTCGCAAGATGAATGCCTCGCAAGACGAAAAACTCGCTAGACGAAAGGGTTTTCTGTTTTTTTAGTCGTTCCGAAAGACGAATTTCCCTATGGGCTTGCTTCGCAAGACGAAACGTCTTGCGAGTTCTTGCGAGTTTGTTTCCTTTTTCTTTAAGCCGCTAAGCCGTTAATAGCCGCTAAGCCGCTAATAGCCATGCTTCGCAAGACGAAAAAACCGCAAGACGAAGAGACTCGCGGAACGGATTAATTTCGTCTTGCGAGGCACCACTGTAGTTTATTCCAAACCAAGCAGAAGTTGGTCTGCTTGCTCAGCAGTTAGAATATTTTGAAAACACTGCAACATAACAATAACTCAGCCAATCATTGCAAGAAGCTTCAATGACTGAGTAACAATACCAATGGATATGAAAATAATTCAAACAACAAAATGGTATGGTGAGACACATAAACATTTCGGATACCTCTTCCTCTTCCTCACGTCCAGGTTTAATAGGTACTTCCGGTGGCAACTTGCAAGAGTCACTCATCTGTACATTGTTGGAACACACAGTCGCTTCTGATTTTCTGAGAATAACTGATAAAGGAATTCTCTGCAGATATACTCTCTCTTCTCTATGCAGGCCAAATTTTTTTCTCAACTCAAGACAGAGTTTTCTCTGTTTCCTTTGTTTGATCTGAGCAGCCACTCCTGCAAGTATCCTCTCCATCTGAAATAATAAACGTTCATTATATAAGCTTGCCAGAACATCACTATGATTAAGGGTATTGTACACAAAGCTTTAATTTTGGGGGGGCTCCAGGACTCTCAATCCAGCACTCTGGACTCTCCCAAGTCATGCTCCTCTTCAAGCCAGACCCCTTACTAGCCCTGTTCCATAGCCTTCATGAGTGGTTTTGTCTGGAAGGAACATGTAATTGAGCAATGATAATGCCTACTGCTCACCTGGATGGAGAAATGTTTGCATGTAGAAACCTCTGGCTTTTATGTGGTGAAACTGTAACTACTGTAACAACTGTTACTGAACCCATTTTGCTTCTGGATCCACTCAGTTTACCTCTGAACCTGCCCGCCACTGGTATATGGCCCCTGGAAGATTGTCTGTGGCCGAAAAAAGGTTACAAAGGAACATATGCTGAAGCTTAATCCATTAGCAGCTGCAGTGGACAGGCAATCCATGATACTCCAGGTGGTGTTGGACTCCAACT